ATATATATATATTATATATTAACAAATTTAAGTCATATATATATTTTAGTTCATATTTAGAATTATTATGTATATAATATGGGCATGTAATGACACAATACTATTTGCAACAATTTAACAGGAAGAATTAATGAAATCCGATTCAATCTTACGTAACCATCTTTATTTATGACTGAGAAAAAAGGGCTTCTGTGTCAGAGCGAAGAAATTCTGTTTGAACTAATTTAATTCGATCAATATTAGCTAACTTTTTTTTAATAATCCTACATGTACGCAATTGTTAACCTAACAGAAATGTAGCACGAAAGACAAGAGAGAGTTTTTTCACAGAGATATAGAGATAGTTGAAGAGTGAGGCTATATTTATTTTTCCGCGCAATGCAAAGTGCATTCACACGTCTTGATCGCACAATGATCGAGACACTCGATCTATCGGTATTGACGGTCCTCGAAGGACAGCGGCCAGAGTGAAAGAACTTCTGTTTAGCTAAGCTAGCCTGACCAAACAAGCCTTGGTTTGATCTATCGTCCCATTACAGCACGCTATCCTTGCTATTTCTCGTCAAATTGCAGTCGCAACTGTTTGCCAATAAATTCTATACACGCAGCGTTGTGCGATTCTCTGTTTTCTAAAGGCTGATTGTTTTCAGAATTTCAGTAACCTTATTATGCCTTTTTTAATAGGTGTGTTCTAATATTTCAATTCAAAATGATACAGGGTGTTGATTTCATCATTCTCGTTTTTTCAATTCCATTCTTGAAATATTGACACGTTCGAGATGGGGCCGAACGTGTATTTCTTATGGTTATATAAATTATAGTTTTTTATGTGCATTTTTCATATTAATAAAAAATCAAGTGTATTTCTCACACTCGATAAAGTGCCCAAACGAATATTGCATGCGTCGGTCCCGAGGGACCGACACCAGCCAAACGGGCAGTCGGGTGTCGGTCCGCAGGGACTGACATCATCTCGAACGTGTGACATCATGTAATCTTTTAACGTTGGTAATGACAATGATAACGTCACGTGATTAGTGACCGCCGAAAAATGAATGTTGGTTTATTTATTATTTACTTTTATTCACTTAATTACGTACATATTTAGAGTATTT